AATGGCCTGATGCATGCCCCCCCCCCCCAACCAGTAGTTATAGGACAGCCCCTTAATTGTAAGCAGTTGATCCCAGATGGGGAGACCAGCTGTCCCTCTGGCTGTCCCCCATCTGAATCAAAGCAGAGGTTGGTGGGGGAAGATCATTATATATCTAACACAAAAGGTCCACTGCAGCGACATAGGGGACCCCCCACGAGTCCCATTTTTAAACTTGACCTTGGCCTCTACAATGGTAGCTTGCCTACCAATAATCATGAAGTATCTAAATATACTCAAGTTATTTTGCTCACAAGCCACAAACACAAAAAGGTGCACTAACGTGACGTACAGACCCCCCACGAAGCCCAAACTTGAGCTTGACTTGGGCCTTAACAGCAGTAATCTGCCTGCCAAAAATCATTGACGTCGAATCATGCCTTCAAGAGTTATATCGCTAAATCCGCAGTCACCCACAATGCGGGGAGACAATTCTATAGTCTTTCTGATGAAGACAATTAGGACTATCCCCCCTATAGTTAGAGCAAGGAGGTTTAAAAACCTCCTTGGTTAGAGCAGCAGTATGCTGATAGACTTCAAGCTGTAATGATGAAAAAAGTCAATTCAGCTAAGTAGAGTAATGTAGGTTCATTTTGCTCTAATAATACAAATGAATCAATGTATGTTTGTGCATTGATTGATTGATCAATTGCTTTTCAGAATTGGATCCCTGCAACCCAGATCCATGTGGTCCCAATGCATTCTGTTTGAAGCATGGCACCCAGTGGAAGTGTCGCTGTAACAAGGGCTACCAGGGAGAGGGTGACCAGTGCTTTGGTAGGTCATGCTTTGACTCACACTTTCTACACATCTATGGCTTAGGCAACACAAATGTGTGGATAGCATCCTTTTGAGATCCCAAACTTTAATGATAAGGAAAAGAGTTGAAAAGAAACATACTATTAGTCTGGTTTATGATGGGGCATTTATGAAGGGTTTAATTTGTGACAGCTCCATGATTATTTTGATAGAACTTGATTACTATCTTATTTTATAGACAAGTTTCCAACTTATCTTTCATTTATGATTTAGTGCTAAGTACCATTTTTTTCAGCAGTTTACCAGTCATGTGATTCATATTAAAATGTCTGAAGTAACCTGGTTCGTTCCTCCCCAGTGATTGAGGGTCCAGATCCATGTCGCACCAGTGACTGCCACCCCAACGCCAACTGCCTTCCTACCAGCTCCTCCTACAGGTGTGAGTGTCGACCTGGATACAAGGGAGACGGCCGTCTCACCTGTAACCGTGAGTAGTACTAGTCTTAGCAGTTCTCCCTGACCCTTTATTGTAGTATTGGATAGAATGAGCCTATCCTTAGAGGATAGAGTCTGATCATTCAAAAGAATAAAGTTATGTATTACATAACTTTCAAATGGCATGTTTTTTTATCATACAAAAAGTATATCATTTCCTCAATTTTACATGACTGCTGGCAAATGGTACAAAAAGTACTATGTTGTGCTCAAGAAAATTGACACGTCCAAAAGTGTTTTTTGAGTTACTTTTATTGTTATTTGTGTGCTCGTAGCATGTTGCTGATTTGATTCAAGTGAAGCATAGTGCAAGGCAAGGAGATCTTGGCATAAAGAGGCAAAGAAGATTTATGTTGATCTTGTGCCATCTCCAGCTGCTGACCCGTGTGATGACAACAAATGTGACAGAAATGCCATGTGCATCCCTGTCGGACCTCGGTCCTACAGGTGCGAGTGTAAGAATGGATACCAGGGCAACGGGTTCTCCTGTGGAGGTAACTAATCTAATGTTTATTTCTTGTTCTTTTGTTTGTAAATTAGAAATTGTTAGTTTTAGGCTTAAAGCCTAAATTAAACAGTGTTATGTAGCTTGCCAGGGTATCCGCATTTTAAGTTCTAGCAAAAGTGAATGGAGAATTGGGTTGCCTAGTACAGTCTTGTTAGATAAGATCAATTATGTTGAAACATTGATGCTCAACACTTTAGGTGTTAGAGAACTCACCCTTTTGTATCTTACAGCTGCTGCTGCAGTGCGGGCTGGGGAGGATCCGTGTGGCCACCTGGTCTGTGACGTGAACGCACGCTGTCTGTTCCAGGGGGGCAAGCCAGTCTGTCGCTGCAATCAAGGATATGAGGGCAACGGATTCTTCTGCAAAGGTAAGGAGGGGGGCATAGAATAGGCTTTTTTTTGCAAAACTCTAGATTGGCCCATTTTGAAATGAAGTTGGTAGGTGGATGTCAGTAAGTTATCACCTTATCAAAGAAAGGTTTGTTTGGTATTCACTAGTTTCCAGTACATGGTGGGATCTGGAATCCCTGGCAGAAATGGTAGATATGATAAGAGTCACAAATGTTTGCATTTGGTGTGTTTTGACAGAAACCCTTTTGTCCAATAACCCACAGTTTCCCAAGTGAAGAATACCAGTACAAACCCTGCAGTTTGTAGCAACCATTTGGAACACCAGGCATTAAGCTTCCAGGACTGAGGAAATGCTGTTATTTGCTTTATCCATAAGCTTGTCCATGACAAGTTCTGAATAAGGAGATTTTGGCCAATTGCAAGACTTAATTGATCTTTAGATCCAGATGCCACAAGAAACAAAAAGCAACACAAATATTTTAAGAATGTTGCCACCTACTTTGTACAGTGGCCCTGTCCAACAGTAATTGGCATCCATGTATAAATGTTAGTTACAGCTTAAATGTGTATTTGCACAAAGAAAGTCAAACTAACATTAAATGTCCTTCATGTTAGGCTGAATTATGTCTTTAATTATGTTACTTTGTGTAACAGTGCTGTGTTGCTTTCCCTATTGCATGTATTAGAAACTCGTTTTAGAATGCAGTTGTTTACTGCACATACTTGTGTCTTATGTAAAATTTCTGCACTTTCTAGCATCAAACTAGATAGGCTCTTTTCACACTTCTTCTTCCCTACTGACATGTCTGAGTGTCTCCCCTTCACAGGCTGATGTCTTAAAGGAGCTGATCCTGGAGTTAAAGAAGCTTGTATATTAGCAAGTCCACAGCTGGAGAAGTAATATATTTTGGGGCAGGTCACTATGGCCTATTTGGATGGATTTAAGAATGGAAGCAATAAGCTGTAATTTTGAAATTCGCAATAGATGAATAAGTCATAGATGCAGAAATCATTAATCTCTTTTATTGAGTTAATTACATGTACATTATAGAGTTTTACTGGTAGATGATATTTTTAATAAATTGTAATAAATTTTAGAGATATAATCTTAGAGTTGTGCATGTTTTTGTTTTGTATTTCCAATTTTGTCTGTCAAGTATACTTTGGCACTACAGTTTTGTCTTTGTGTAACAAGTCGGTTATTTTTTTCTGTTGGCACCTTTCTTCTTGTTTTTCCCTTCGTGTTAATTTGTTATCGTGACATAACACTTCAAGCAATATTTTCTTTTTCCTCTCCTGGTTGAGACACAAATAAACTTTTCATTTCTTTCGTTCCTTCTGCTTTGTTTGAGTTGTTGTGTTGCAGTGATTTCTAGCTCACATGTGTATGCTCTTTAGTTGTCATGGATAAAACAACTTAAAATGGCATGAGTTCCAAAAGTTAATTGGTAATTGAATAGTGTGAATTGAAAGAGTTTGAAAAGGCAGGCCAAATTAATGGAGTTGGGTTAGCTATATGGAGGGCACTGAAGCATGTGTCTTCACGTGTAATCTGTATTCAAAATCAGTAAATAACCTCCAGATAAGTCAAACTAAGATAACCAAGCTGTCAACAAACTACATGAGGAAGTAGTTTTGTGGCTGATAGAATTTGTCAAGATTAATCAACATCTTATCAACAAACCACATAATTATAAGTAGGTATGGCTGATGTAATTTGCCAAGATTGATCTTATGTAAAAGTTGAGGATCCTTGGTGCCAAGACTCCTAAGCAGTGCTATGAGAGTAGTAGTCTGTGCTATTTCCCAACAGTTGTATGACTTCTGAACCTGCCAACCAGATGGATCTAATCTCTTCATACAATCCTGGTCCTTTAAATTAATCTGTTTTTATAAAGCTTGAGCTTGCCAGATGGGTTTAGTTGTACTTGTCTCAAGAACAACCACCATTGGTCCTGGTGAAATTGAAGGTTATGACCTTATCATTTCTGAATGACATCTCTAGCACTGATTAGGAGCTTTGAAGGTATAAATTCCAAGCTTTAAAAAAAAATGTTTCAACTCTAGGAAAATTGATTCATCACAGTTGTTAATTAGTTAGTGACTCCTATTGATTAGAAAAAGTGTCCCGACTCCACAAATACCAGTATTAATTAAGTTGCTGACCAGCAATAGTCTGACATAAGCCTGCCGTGCTTGAAGGGGAGTCCTCTCGACCCTTTAAACGTACCGTAAAACAGCTAACTGTAGTCGCTTTGAAAATTCTTCTGGTTCTCCTGGCCTTAACTGTTTTGTTTTTGTAACCTAAAAGTATTTTTAGCAACTTGCACCCTCCTCAGATAAAGCAATTTGTACAGCTGCAGAAAATGCAATGCCTTCTGTGAAAATAACTTATTTTTCAGGCTTAAGTTTCTGTCTTTTGGGGTAGTCCTAATTAAATTAATAAGGCTTCCTGTTCTGTGTCTCTGTTCTGTGTGTCCCGATGTCCTATTTGGCCGATGTAGTATGGCTTGTTGCCCAAAGGAGCCACAGCCAAGAGCTGGTCCCACTTATAGGAAGGTCTGAGGTAAAGCTGGGAATTGGAACCAGCTTTCACTTGATTGACCTAATATTGTCTCCCTAAACCAGTGGTTTAAGTTCTCAGGATTTGCAGCAGGAGATGCTGGGATCTTGTCTTGTGACACACATAGGTTGGTGTCTGGTATGCCTGCATGGTTCTTTGCAGGATGCTGATAAATGCTGGTTGTGCGATTGGCCTGCAGAAGTGCAAACCAAAGGGCTTATCACAAGACTGTAATGTCATTTTTTTCTGCTGCAGCATGGAAGTTCACCCACAGGTTTTTTACAGCACATATTTCCACAAATTCAAATAAACTATCTGTTAACTATTTGTTATTTCATTTCAACTACACTTTTTGTAAGAAATTACTGCAGCTGGTAGAAAAAGCAAGCATGTAACTTTGCAAAGGCACAACAGCTTTCCATCAACTGTATTCACTTCACACTTGTAAACTTACTTCATTTTGGTTTTCTTGGTTTATTTTGCAGTGCTTCAGCAAGAGCAATTTTTCTGCATTTTGCACTGGCAGCATGGCCACTCTTACCTTGTGCAGCAGTTGCAGCCTGCAAATTTGTAATTTTAAAAGCATGATATGCATGAGAAGTGCAGAAGATTCGCAACCCAACATCTATACCTGTACATGTTTTAATATACTTTCCTTTTTTCCCCAGCTGGAGTGCGATATGCACCTGCAGACTGGCTTGACCCTTGTGCCAGCAATGAGCACGACTGTCACAAGGACTTGGGCAGGTGTGTGTACGAGGGCCAGGGCAGGTACAGGTGTGAATGTACACCTGGCCATGCTGGAGATGGCAGGACCTGCAATGGTAGGAAACCATTACGTACTGTAAACCAAGTTCAGAGATTTAGCCATTCTGCCCAAGTTCATGGTTTTTTTTGGAGGGGAGGGGGTAAATATCAACTAAACTACCCAGTACATGTCAACATTCTAATTCATGAATCTGTAATCCACTCAATTCACAGTTAACAGTATCATGAGCTGTGTATAACAGGTCCTTGGCATTCCCACAGACAGTTTTGCATCCAAGCATACTAGTACATCATTAGTACATGATCAAGTAACTTCATTTCAATAACCACCTCTTGTGGGGCTTGTCTGTACTACAGTATAACATGGCTTTAGATTTGCTTGCAGTGCATTGTAAGATGCATTTCCTATGTTTGGAATGTAACAACATGTTACTAATTGCTATATTGTGTAACATGGTTCTAACAATGTAGCCAATGACAGTGCATGCCAATGTCATACTTGAATATGACAACATTTTGGGAATTGAGCAATATTGTTCATGGTCTTTGTAGCTAGTACAGCACATTTATGACCTTAAAGACTGAACACAGTCATGAAAGTGGCACAGACAGTGGCAAACTTGAAACTTGGTATGTAGTACATAGTGTACAAGCATGTACATGAATCTTAATTTTATTGGACTGTTGGGAGAAAGCAAAATCCTTGTACATGTCAGCCTTTTTGTGTCACAGAGAAGATAAGCCCATTTCACATATTGATGTTGGCATGTCCAGTCATGCTGTTATTGTCAGACTAATCCAGACACCACTGTGTTTCCATTTTCAGATGCATGTTCCATGCTTCCCACTTACTTCTCTGCAGCAGCATAGTGCTCCCTGCACTTGCATGGCTGGCTGTCCTCCATCCATCCATCTCTCCATCCCTCCATCCTCCGTCACCACTCTGGTGCAGGTTTGTGAAGCCGTCCTAAGGTCAGTGGCTTGTGATGTGTGCTGTGTGTCGGCAACGCTTCTAACCAAGCTCTCACCTGGTGCTCCTCCTGTCTGTCAGCTTGGTGCTGGGCTAATGTTTCAACATTAAAGGATTGCATAAGAAAAGTTGTTTTCTGCATAAATAGTATGCAGAACACGAGTCCACAAGAAAACTATTTGCAGAAACCAAGTGAACTGGACTGAGGCACCAAGTGTAGCATCAGTTTAACAGGCAGGAGGGAAGCCATTGCTTGCATGCTGCGCTCCATGAGAAATGACCCGTGCACTTTTCGTAATCTTCTCTCCGCTCATAGCCATAGCGGTTCTCTCCAGCCCCTGCGGAGAGGGGAGTCACAACTGTGACCAAAATGCTGTGTGCATTAATGACGATGCAGGCAGATATTCCTGCCGCTGCAGACCGGGGTTTGTTGGAAATGGATGGACCTGTTATGGTAAGGATCCCATTGGTAGGTCTTGTCTATGAACTTCTTACTGTTTCATTTCACTTTCAGTGCTTGTTGGTTATTCACTATTCTGTACTTGACAAAATCCATGGCATAGCACCAGCCAATTTGAAACAGTTTGTCAAGTCGGAAAGTATTTTTCAGGAATAGACCCTTGAAAATTCACAAGAATTTGATAAAATGGAAACTGTTGTATTCTGGTTGTGGTTGACAGGTTGCTGAAATTGAGTGCTTTTCTTGTGCCATGGACGCCAACTGTGGGTAGATGAACCTTTGTGTGGGATTGTAGTGTCATGTCTGGAGGTCCATGTTTGCTTGCCCATCTGGTAGTGGAGAGAATGGCTCTTCATTTCTTAAAAACGAGACAAGTAATTTCTTTGGATGAAGGAAATATATGGTTTCACAGAATAATATGTCAAAGCTAACATCATGCCATGGCAGCCATGTTTTTTTATTCGAAATATCAGCTTGAAAACTCACTAAGGAGTAAAGTTTCAGATGGGCAGCATCTGGATTTCTCTGTGTTACTGGTAGTTAGCAGCTGTTTTGTAATGGAGCTCTTCTCCAATACTGCCATGTCTATGAATAGTGTCTCCTCCAACCCCCTCCCCACAGCCACCCCCATCCAGCCCCCAGCCAACCCCTGTGATCGGGCCTCCTGTGCCCCCCCTGGACAGGGCTTCTGTGTACCTGTCAGTCTCACACAGTACCGCTGTGAGTGCCTGCCTGGGTTCAGGGATGTCAACGGAGACGGCAGAGTTTGCCAAGGTTGGTTCCTAATTGCTTGGTGCTTAAAGTAAGCACAGATAAATACACTTACTAGCACATGCATCTACATTAGGTAGAGCCTTGATACCTCTAGTCCCCAGCCACTGAATAGTATCTGATTATTTAAATGGTAAACCATGTACATGTATAACTAGTGTCTATCCCCATAGCCATCCAGCCCCCAGGCCCTCAACCTACAGGCAACCCATGTGATCGTGCCAACTGCGCACCCGAGGGGCAGGCCAAGTGCATCCCCCTGGGCCCCACTGACTACCGCTGTGAATGTCTGCCAGGGTACAACGGTGATGGAAGAGTCTGTACAGGTATCCAGTTGTCTGTTGGTTGAGTGCCCAGTGGATCCTGATGGTTACATTTAACCTGGACATGTGGAATCTGTGACATGATAAATAAAAATATCTGTTAAGTCATATTTCTGAGGGTAGTAAAGAAGGAGGGAGTATGAAATAATTATGCGAAAGTTCTACCCAGTTCCCTAGCCTGTGCAAGAGGGTAGTTAGTATATACCATCAAAACAGATGAGACCTCTCCTTGGATTACTGGTTAAGCTTACGTTTCGTATCTTTGTCATGATTCAAATAAACAAATACTGTTTGCTGTTGATTTTTATTGGCAGATATGGATGAGTGTGACCTGCTTGACCCTGCCTGTGACCCCAACGCACGCTGCATCAACACGTTTGGGTCTTACCGGTGCGAGTGTGCACCTGGGTTTGTGGGAGATGGCAGGACCTGCTCTCGTGAGTTGGCTTTTATGTTTCTAAATAAAGATTTGTATTTCTTCAGTAGGGTTTTTGAATGCTAGCATACAAGCTTACAAATGTAAAATCATTGCCACAATGATAGAGCTTAAACAATGCTTGGACATTAATATCCTAGTGCTTTCTGGTGTAGGCATCTTAAAATAGAGGACAATTAACCGTCAAACATTTCTCACCTATCAACTTAGCTTGGATCTTGAGCCCACCAACATGGAAGACACAAAATGATGTCACTGATGTCAATGAAAACAACTTGTCTGAATGAATGATTGAAGTGAAGTATTTGCTGCATGTGTTTAACATTACATATACTTAATCTGTTGTCTTGTACGGAAGAATGACATGGTTTGTCCTTTTTTCCTCTCCCTCTCAGCTGTTGGTCAGGCTCCCCAGGCCTCTCTCCTGTTTGCCCAGGGCATGTCCATCAGCCGCATCCCCGTCCCTGCCCAGGGTTACCGTGGACAGATTGTCGGCGCCCAGTCTGCCGCCCGTGGGAAAAAGGTGCTGGTGAAGGCCGGCATGACGGCAGTGGGGATCGACTACGACTGCGTGGATGGGTACATGTACTTCACCGATGTCACCGGCAGGTCCATCAGTCGTGCCAAGATGGACGGCAGCCAGCCAGAGGTCATCATCAGCCAAGGTCAGTATTTGGTTCCTAGAGTCATAGTAGCTATGAGTTTCCTGTTTCAGTGCATATGTGAGTTTTTCCCACTACCAATGATTTTAATCTTGTCATAACCTCATCAATCGGCCATGATTTTCCTTACTTATCCCTGTGATTACCGACCTGTGCCCAGGCCTGAGCAGCCCGGAGGGTGTAGCCGTGGACTGGATCAGTAAGAACCTGTACTGGACAGATTCTGGAACTGATGTCATCGAGGTGTCCAAGCTGGACGGGTCAAACCGTAGGGTGCTGTTCAAGGATGACCTTGTTAACCCCAGGTCCATTGTGGTGGAGCCCTTCAGTGGGTAAGCACTAAAGAAGGGGAGGGGTCTGTATCCGAGTAAAAACATGTATGTAGGTTGGTGTTCTGAAGTGAAGGATGTCACGAGGTGACAAATGTCCCTCAAGTATTGTGCCATTGAGGGTCATGTATTTCTATAGATAAGGTCTGACCCCCATTTTAAGCTGGATGAACAGGTCCAATGTGGTATCTTCTGAGCCTCTCAGATCTATTATTATAAAATGTCCTGTATACGCCATGTCCACAGCACCATGTATTGGACTGACTGGAACCGTGACAAACCAACGATTGCAACGGCCAACATGGACGCCACCAACCGCCGCATCTTTGTGGACACTGAAATTGCCCTGCCCAATGGCATCACCATTGACTACCCAGCCAACCAACTCTGCTGGGCAGATGCCGGTATGGACTTGATAGCTTCCTTCACCATTAGTTTGTTAGATCCTTGTCAGCTGCATTAGCAATGATTGACAGTTTTTCATGTTAACTATTACATCTAAATCTATCTGCTGAAAGCTCACTGGATGATCTATTGAAACTGTTGTACATTGTCATTGGTTTATGTTATGTCCAGGCACCAAGAAGGTGGAGTGTGCCACCCTGGGCACAGCTGCCAACCGACGCACGGTGTACACCCCCACACAGTACCCCTTCAGCATGACATCCTACCAGGGTAGGCTCTTCTACACTGACTGGCAAAGGTAAGTACGGCTGCAATTAATTACAAATGGCTTTCAAAGATTGTCTTGTGAGGGAATACAGGTATTTTAGGACTTGACAGATTCAGACATAGTTTGATGCTGTTCAGCAGATCTTGACATTTACATGTATGTTGTCTTGTAACTAGATCTGAACATTTGTCACAATGAGTGATGTTCCTTGCTTTTCAAGAAACATATAACTTATTATAAGTGGATCCAAAACAGTGTCAGCAATCATCATCTGAGAATAATGCTACGTGACTGCCATTGATAATGCTACCTGACTGCCATTGATATTGACATGTGCTGCTTGTTTCTGCAGGGATGCAGTTCTTGCCATTAACCCCCAGTCCCAGACAGAACAGGGCCCTCTGCCCCTCCCCCTGGGCTCCAGTGGAAACCCCTACGGCATCACCACCATCACCAACACCTGCCGCAGGGGTATGGACAAGTTTCAATCCTTCAGACATGCACCTGGCTGCTCTTCGACATTCTTTGAAACATGGAAACCGTGCTGCCTAACCCGTAACATATCAGAAGGCTACCCAAGTTCAAAGAAGTGGAAACTTTATTCTTGTATAAATTTACTCCAACATTAAATGCATGGTTTCATGCTTTTCTACTCATTGAGGTCTGGTAACCATTTTTATCTTTTCATGCCCCAAATTTGCATTAACAACAGATGTTACCTAGGAGGATATTATAATTAATCTTACCTTTGCACACTTGGTTGCGTGTACATATCTCCCTACACTCATCGGGTAAATCACAATTTAAGTCATGGTTTCATGTCGTGAGTTCAAACTTTGACCACCCATATTCCCCCTCCAGGTGCCAATGCCTGCAGTGTGCGTAACGGGGACTGTTCTCACCTCTGCCTGCCCAGACCTGGCAACCAGCGGTCCTGTGTCTGCCCCTCCAACCAGTACTCCAACGAGGCAGCGTGTGTGGAGTAGAGTGTGGAAAAACCCTCTCCAGTTTTTAACTTTTAACACAAGATTTTAATCCCCACAAGAGAAGTGGAACTTCACCAAAGCAACTTTTTTTGGGCAGATGTGGAAAATGTCTTTAAAAATATCAAATATCCATATCAATTCAGATGTCTTTCATAAAAGGGCTCTAATATTGTCTTGTTGGTCAGCCAGACTTGATTGTGCAGCAGATTCCTTGTACTTTTGGCAAACTAAAAATCCATATGCCAGAATATGCAAGAAGCTTAAGAAGCCCCATTCTCACTCATGAATTGCCTGTGTACCATTCACAGTGAGGAATATAAACCAACGTTTACAGCTTCTGCCCAATTAGCTAAGTGGAACAACTTTGTCATGGGATTACCAATTCTTTCCCTCTTCAACAACACAACTTTTAAACAACCAATTAAATTTGAAAGGCCTTGGACATTGCTAAAAAATTAACAGTTTGCTGCCTCTTCTAGTCAAAAGAAGGGATTTTTTATCTGAAAGTCCCAAGAAGTGCAGCAATGATGTTATTCAGGTAAAGTGTAAGGTGTGAGTATAGGCCTGCACCAATCAGTATTACTGTCATTGCACCGCATGCCAAGTAAGATTTTATGTAGCTGTTGTTTACTCTAATAGTGGACCTTTTTAAATGTAGGCACCAGATCTTTCACAATATGTATAGTAGATAATGTATAGTAATATCTTGCTGTGTCAATGTATCTGTATTTTTCTTGGCCTACTCTGTAAAATTAGTGTAGTATTTGTACTTTGTCCACAACAGTTGTGGTATTACATTTGTCTAGTCACATTTTTTTTTGTATTTGAATTGAATCAGGAGGTGTGATCTTTTTTTTTCCTTGATGCTTTTTTAAAAACTAGCTTTGTAGATTTTGTACTAATACATGACACGAGAGCGAGTGTTAGGGATAGAAGTGCACAGTATGTGTATTGAGCACTTGAAGAATGTAAGTTATCACTTGAACTGATGTATGGTGCTGTTTTAACTTGTCTCAAGTTTTTTTAGATAAAAAACACTCAATGTGTCTGTTTTCATCTTGTCTTTTTTTATTGCTGCTACACTTTAGACAAATATCCACTATAATAAGCCAAGGCTAGAATCTATCTATGAATATCATCCCCTTCTTAACTTCATGGTGCAGCAAGTTGAGTTACTTTTCACAATCAGCTTGCATAATAAGGCAACTTCATTTTCATCTTGATCGCAAAAGTCTTTCTTCAGATGTTGCTTTTAATTACTTGAACTACTGGCTGCATCTCGGAAGCAGGTAGAAGCTTTTCCAAGTGAAACAGTTGGTGCCCAGGTTACAAGATTTAATTATGAGACTTAAACCCCTCTCACATACATTGTACAAGAGGTCAATGGACTAAGAACATTTCTAGTTGTACAACAACTAGTTAATTGGTTGACACTAGACACACTTTGCAACTTTCAAAGTTACCTCTCTAGTTCCAGTGACAGTCCATTCATACATTTATGACCCAATTCATACATTTATGACCCAAAGAGTTTGCACGTGAAAGGGCCTTAAAGTACAGTCTGATTGACTATGATCTCGTGAAACCTTTGACTGCCAGTATCCTCAAAGCTGCTGTGACTATTACTGTCGTATAAGGTTGCAGTTGCTTTACAAGTCTGTTAGTACCATTGCTGTTGTCTTTGTAAGACAGCTGCTGGGTTGTGATGCAGGTGCGCACAGCAACACCTGTCCAGCTACATCACCTGCCCACCTTCCCCAGAGCCTGGTCTGTCTTGGGGTTTGCCGTGATGGCCTGAACGGACACGATGGCCTCGTTGATCTTAGTCTGCAGATCCCTCAGCTCATGGATGTGAAGCAGCCGCAAGATCTTAGCAGCCTCATTCACAGCAGGATCTAAGGAAATGTACCCAGAATGAGAATAAATGAGATGATCATGCAGCCAAACTATGTTAACACAAAGGAAAACGTGATACTTTGTAGTTGAACCAAGATTGATTAAAAGAGACAATTACTACAATCAAGTAAAATTAATCAAATTACCTGCACTTAATTTACATGAAAATAGTGAAGGGAGGACAGACAGTGATGTATGTATACAACTGACTACTGTGCAGAGGACCAAAGTTTTCCACTATGCCCATACAGTTATCTTGGCTCTTGCTGGGTACCACAGGCAGTGCAAAGCTAAACATGGTAACTCCAAATAAATAGACCAGCTTACCTCCTGTGTCAAAACCAGCATCTAGGTCCTGCAGAAGGATGGGAACCCCCTGGAATACACAGTGGTACCAACTTGATGCCACATCATAGTAAAATGAAACTGTACCTCCTGCTGTTTAGGCAATAATTTCTTCCACTGGTTGTATAGCACATAATAAACAGGTACAATGACACATTAGGAAATACAAGGTACAACTTATTATTTTGACAACTACGAACAGTGAACCACAGCTAATAATGTCCCAATTACTGCAACTCTCCCAGCCAAAAGGTAGAAAGTGGAGTGAAAAACTGATCCAGCAGGGTTGCTAATGAGACAATACAAATATTGAATGGATGGATTTACATGTTCACATATACTGACTACTAATCAAAGATGTTTGTAGGATCTGGGGAAAAGCCTACAAAGTTTCTGGTGCTGATTTTGTGAGTACTACAGCTCTTTAAAGGGGGAAACCATAGAATGTTCTGTTCAACATACTAGTATATCTTTACCACATCTGGTGCATTCCAAAAAGGGCAGGAAGGAAGGAAGTACTCAACCTTTGCCATTAGGGTCAGTGACAAACAGTTTCAACTTGCAAGTCATGAAATAATCCAAGTCTTTACAGTGGGACACGTCTTCATCTCTTTTACTCTAAAGAAAGATGGAAAGTTCTTCCTTTTTTAGAATTTCTTTAGACAGTGTTAATTATTATGCCTAGAGATATTGCCTAACTAGTGAATATTATTCAGCAGATCCCCTACTGAATTACATGTACTTTGGAGTTTTAACAGCTAAAACAATACCTGCCTAACTTGGATACAGATTGCACGTACAGGATGCTACAACTTTGTTAATGTGTTCCCTTGCAGGACTGGGGCATATTGCACCTTTTTACTGGACGTTTACTGTTCACAAATTAGTTTTCCTTTTTGTACACCTATGGAACTGCAATGCCCTGCTAACCATGGTAGAATGTAAAGTATACCTCAGTCTTCTTGTTCTGTGATTCAGCAATTGCTTCTTTGGACAGTTTTTCCTGTATAAGCTTACGTATGGCCTGTAGGAAGAAACATAGCCTCTTAGAAAATTATCTAAATGCATACTAACTTAAAAGATATAATACATTTCCTAGGAACAAAAAGAGGGCCTATTATTCAAAGTATTTGTTATACATCATACAAAGTACATCAAGTAATTTCTAGTATTTGAAGTGGTAATAAGTTAAGAAGACTTTTCTTAGAGCCCACATAAGAGAATAGTGGAAGTGGAGATTTGGACACTTGAAGACACTGGGGTGTATTAAACTCCTTTATGAACATGTGACAGTAGACTAGAATCCATACCTTAAGTAACATGAGTTGGTCTTCATGTTGGGGGATCTGTAAGAGTTGGGCCAGTGAAGCCACACCTGCTCTGAAGTCTGCACTGCTTGCTGTAAATGTTAAGTTGTTTAGAAAAAAGCTGACATAAAATGTTGGCTTTAGCATAGTATCTTTCAAGTGTTATAATAATAATTTTCTTCTCTGTACAACTAGCAGACTTAACACAGGTACATGTCCAATTGTGGGCATTTGTCAAACATCTTATCCACATCCTGTTTTTAGTGATACCAAAGTAGCAGGGAGGAAGCGGCACTACAAAGACCTCAGCACAATGAAGACAGTTTTGTTAAGAGTCATGACTAGAGACGCAACAAACAAACTCAAATAGACGTCACACTATCTTGGTGTGTCATTGTGTTTCCTTAAGACCCTTCACTTTTACAAACATCTTGCTTGTGAAGGTCCACTCGTTGTAACGGTGTCACACCTTTTAGTCTAACAAACTGTATGCTGTGCCACTTTCAACAACTGATTGTGCAAACAAAACCTGTTGACCTTGAACATGGACAGTGAATGAAACAAGGCTTTCATCACCTTTTCTTGAAGAATTAGGTCTTTGTCTACCTGTTGTGGTAATCAAGACAAGGCTTCTTTCACTCTGGTCATCAATTACCAAAAGTTCTGACTTTCTCACAAGAGACAATATCTCACAGGAAAGTGTTTGTGTGCCAACAAGGGAATCCACGTCAGTAACTCCATAAGCACCTTATGGATGTGGATTTGCTGACAATGTCTACTTGTTGTACTGTTGTGGTACTATTCAGTGGAGTCTGTCTGCCTACATCAGAAACACTGATGTAGTGTGGTGAGAGTTTGCCGACTTTGCCTTTGTACTTTCCTCAGCCAGAGGACCGGAAAAGGGGTAAACTGATCTGCTGTGGTACAACACTTCCTCTCAGCACTGGTGTTGACAATTGTGTAGAGAACACCTTACCTGCAAATGGTTTCACTCAATGGCTGGTTGTTCTTTCTTTACAGCTGTTTTAAGACATCCTATTCCCAGAGAAGGGAGGGTACAGTTCCTATCTTTCAGCAGTTTTACAAATTTATAATAAACCCTGATAAAAATTTTCCAGTCTTCGGCCCTAGTAGAATACAGTATTAGTACTTTCAACAATTTTTTTCCATAAAAAGTTATCAATTGGTAGTGTGTATATAATGAATTCCCCCGTATGCAAGTGGTACATGCCGAGCAAAAAATAACGTCTCATTCACCTTAAAGTAAATTGTACGAGGACAAGAGTCAGACAGTGCCACATTTTAGGTTTGCAAAATCTCCAGAGAAAAGTGGCAAAAACACCTACGATCTATGCTGCCCAGGACATCTGCGCTGGGTGCTGGCATGGGAGTCTTTTGAACACTGGCTGCCTTCACTTGTCTGTACTTTTCCACTGCAAGAATCATCATACTGGTAAGCAAGACAGTCATTTTTATTCTAATTTATCAGTTTGGCAGACATACATGTATAGGCTGTTACAATCTATCATCCTTTTGGTTGTCTTATGGGATAGATAGACTGATCTGGACAATTACTGTGACAGGTAATGGATAGTACATATTAAGCTGTTTTAATTCCATGGAATTCGTAGCCAGAGTGCTTAAATTTTACACCTGTGCATCAATGCATTCTACATAGTATATGATATAGCATATTTGGTGCACTAATTAATTAAGCTGTTTTTATATGGTTGTCCCTTGATACAAGGAAACATTAGAGAGAGAGATTGTCAAGATATACATGTAGATGGAAGAAGCTCCTACCATTATCACCATACTCCAGCCTCACAGCATAACCCAGCAGCCAGTCCATCACAGCACTTTTGTCTCCATGGTTAACAGGACATGCTAGCTCCTCTAAATACTATGGTGGAAGGAAACAAGAAAGACTTGGTTAATAATTACTGTATCAGCTGCATCTGCAGGTCATGTGTATATCTTTTCATCATCAGAAAAGCGATTATAGTAAGATCCAATAATTCTGTGGAGATCCTACTAGCTTTTTTGTGTCACCCACCATTGCCCTGTACATGTACAAAATGTACATGTAACTTACATGTATTTAAAATCAGATTACATTAGATTCTGTCTGCCCCTCACATGTGGTTGAATGCTTGCTTTTGAACCTTGAGATGTCTTTCTACTCTTTGACTGGCAAATGCCAAGCCCCACCAAGCTAGACATGTAGAAGTACACACAGAACTGGTCATGTTTGGCACATGTCAAGCAACTATCATCACATACCTGTTTGAATGCTGTTGGCCAGTCTGCACTCTGAATGTTACGTAGATTTGCTCTGTCTTCTATTTTGTAGTGTCGCACCTTCTGGTCCTCAAGCCAAACTATCATATTTCGGAATTGTGCCTCATCTGCAAGTGTTGGAAAAATGCTGTTACCAGAGAGAATAATAAACATACTGGTAACTTACGTGCCCAATATGTTGAGACCTGTCCAATGGTACCATAACTATAAGAGCTGCTCCAAGTCTGACAGCATCACAGCTTATGCGGTGTGGCATTTTGTAATCTGTTGTCTTGCTTTGTCTGTTGAGCTTATCAACATTTGTGGCTTGTACTATATGCTCTGGCAATGTGCCGTTTAATAGATGAGCATTAATAGATTTCTAAGTCTAACTATAATAAATGGGGTCTGCCTATTTACCGGAATACACCGGAATACACCGGAAAACACAGTTAAACACCGGAAAACACCGGAAAACACATATAGGAGGCTAAAATCTACCGGAATACACCCTGATATGATGAGATAACATACTGAATTGCTGTATTTTGACATGAAGTAACGTGTATATCGCCGCGGGAACAAGAAATCGTTATGAATTGGCGATCGGCGATCGCGGAGGCGAGCCGACCAGTCGCCATGTTTGTTTACATTGCCGACTACGAAATGTTTGTTTAACGCGATCGCCGTACGTCACTTTTTCTCAGTGACAATCATGTGACGCCAATTTCTAAAAATGATGAACCGTTTTTCTTGTCCTATTATTTGTTGACACCGTAGAGTACCTTAGTCCTTTTTGCTGAATATGTTTCGCTGTTTCTCCGATCCCGCTGATAAGAAAATCGCGCACTAAACCAAACACGGCCGATTCGCGTTTATGCAGGGTTGTTCTAGGGAGATGAACCTTTATCCGTCACGGATATACACACCACAACTTTCTCTGTATTGTTTGCCTTTAGACAACATCTGTTATTTTCCGAGGTGGGCAATGAGTGCCCGAAATTCAATCCCCGTCCTACGATACAAATAAAATACGGCAAAACGATTGTACAGTGTTGACAACGCCCGATTTAATCGGCGATAGTCAGCGGAGCTCGTACAGTTCGAATGCACGCGTGTTATGTCCATCGCGATCTTGTCTTCAACTCGGACCACCGGCGGATCCAGAGGGGGGCGCACCCGGCGCCCCCCCCCCCCCCCGTTCGACCGGGCAAAAAAAAATTAGACGACTGGCCAAACACAAAATCGGAGAAAAAAACATAACACATTTTAATAGAAAGGAAGCCTATGGTTACGACCAATTCTTCCCGGATACGTCACGGACTGTAGAAGTACATGGCCGGGGCGACGGAGCTGTGACGCGCCGATATGAGGCATAAGACATGGTCACGGAAAACTCAATAGTTCACACAAAAACGGTCCAATCAGCCATATAAATGTGTCTTTGTAATCGTCACGAGTTGTCCTAGGTCATGTACTACACGTGAGAATTCAAATATGACTCCAAGACAAGATTTGTACAGTCAAAGTTGACCTTCAGAATGCCTCCTTTTGCCTCATTTCGGCGAAGATTTCGCACTGCATGGGGGTTTCACTGCTACCGTTTCGGCATTTATCATATGTACTTCCGGGTCGTAGCAGACAGCACAGGCCTCATGTTCTTTCCACGTGCGGCGGTCAGGCGATCCAACCCGCGGTCGGGCTGGTACGTCGGGCAATTCGGCATACACAGTGTAGTATTCTAACGTTATATGTATTGCAGGATAACATGTGTAGATAGAACAATGTTATTATAAACTGTGAAACTCCAATGACGTACTTTCAAGTACGCTCTGTTAAGAGTACATACCACGCCAACTTTTGACGGGTAGCCTTACTGTGGTGAAACTGTGTCATTCGTTTGACTTGATAGTTTGGGCTGTTAAGAGTATATTCCGTGCCTAGATTCACAGAATAATTTCTTCCGTGGTAAACTGTGTCATTCCAATGACGCACTTTCAAGTATGCTCTGTTAAGAGTACATACCACGCCAACGTTTGACGGGAAGCCTTACTGTGGTGAAACTGTGCCATTCGTATGACGCACTTTATAGATTGGGCTGTTAAGGGTATATTCAATGCCTAATTTCATAGAAAACTTCTGCCGTGGTAAACTGTGTCATACCAATGACGCACTTTCAAGAATGCTCTGTTAAGAGTACATACCAACCCAACTTTTGTCGGGAAGCCTTACTGTGGTAAAACTGTGTCATTCGTATGACGCACTTTACAGTTTGGGCTGTTAAGGGTATATTCAATGCCTAATTTCATAGAAAACTTCTGCCGTGGTAAACTGTGTCAAACCAATGACGCACTTTCAAGAATGCTCTGTTAAGAGTACATACCAACCCAACGATTGACGGGAAGCCTTACTGTGGTGAAACTGTGTCATTCGTTTGACGCACTTTACAGTTTGGGCTGTTAAGGGTATATTCCATGCCTAATTTCATAGAAAACTTCTGCCGTGGTAAACTGTGTCATTCCAATGACGCACTTGCCAAGTACTGCTCTCGTTAAGAGTACATACCACGCCAACGTTTGACGGGAAGCCTTACTGTGGTGAAACTGTGTCATTCGTATGACGCACTTTACAGTTTGGGCTGTTAAGGGTATATTCCATGCCTAATTTCATAGAAAACTTCTCCCGTGCTAAACTGTGTCATACCAATGACGCACTTGCAAGTATGCTCTGTTAAGAGTACATACCACGCCAACGTTTGACGGGAAGCCTTACTGTGGTGAAACTGTGTCATTCGTTTGACGCACTTTACAGTTTGGGCTGTTAAGGGTATATTCCGTGCCTAATTTCATAGAAAACTTCTGCCGTGGTAAACTGTGTCATTCCAATGACGCACTTTCAAGAATGCTCTGTTAAGAGTACATACCACGCCAACTTTTGACGGGAAGCCTTACTGTGGTGAAACTGTGTCATTCGTTTGACGCACTTTACAGTTTGGGCTGTTAAGGGTATATTCCATGCCTAATTTCATAGAAAACTTCTGCCGTGGTAAACTGTGTCATTCCAATGACGCACTTTCAAGTATGCTCTGTTAAGAGTACATACCACGCCAACTTTTGACGGGAAGCCTTACTGTGGTGAAACTGTGTCATTCGTATGACGCACTTTATAGATTGGGCTGTTAAGGGTATATTCCGTGCCTAATTTCATAGAAAACTTCTGCCGTGGTAAACTGTGTCATTCCAATGACGCACTTTCAAGAATGCTCTGTTAAGAGTATATACCAACCCAACTTACTGTGGTGAAACAGTGTCATTCGTAGACTGGAATTTCTGTCTAGGAGCTCTGATAATATAACTAGTTTACACAAATTTAGTGTCTGTAGTCTCCAGCAGATTAACAACTATTTCTTATAATTGTCTTATATTGGGCAGCGAATATTTCAAATTTTGCTTTTAATCAAACAGCTGCTCTGTGTGAAATTCTTAAAATGTGAATTCACGAAGCGTACGCGTTTTCAAGACACGAGATATGCTTTGGAAATTAAACCAGTTGGTCATCTGCTACAATACACATTCAGCATTGATTTCCAGACAGCCCCTCACCTGGTCTAGCAGAACCCCTAGGCCTCCTGCAAATGTTTTTACACTGGGTGGACATGAGGCAATTTTCAAACATTGGGCAAAATTTGTGGACATCGGGGTTAAAAAAGTGGTTTCTATGTGTTGCTAGGGGAGGCAACGGCCACTTTTCTGGGTGTTGGCTCCATGCTGCAAAGTTTAGTTTAACGGTGTTGAGTATACTTTCTTTCGTATGACGCACTTTAAAGTTTGCGTCATTCCAATGACGCACTTTCAACTCTGCTCTGTTAAGAGTATATACAATGCCCACTTTTGACGTGAAATTTTCTGTCATGATGAAACTTGCGGTCAATCCTATGAGTAGTATGACGCAATTTCAAATTTGCTCTTCGATAATAATAAGTTTATTGCAAGTTCGTGCCCTTGGGCTAATTGCAAGTAACAAAGACCTGGAGACAACAATACATGGAAAAATACATACAAAAGGATTGTTAAAGTTGCTATACTATTTTCTAGAAGGTAATCGTCTAAAACCGTGATGGCGATGAGCAGCATAATATATTGGATTTGTGAGGCTTTCTTCGTTTCAGTCACAAAACAACCTATGGTGTGGTCATCGCTGAAAGCCCAGTGTTTTAGCCTCACTTTCTTGAACTTTTCGTTAAGTCGTTACTTCATAAACGCTGTCAGAGGATGCTTACTACATTTGTACTACTCCCGTACACTGCCGTCACAACTTGTTAGCGTGACCCGGAAACAGATGTGCCTCGGCTCCTAACCGGGCACCTCAAAACCCCCATGTGGTGCGTATTTGGGCTTGAAAACAATGGCGGAAACCATTGAAAACTATCTGAATATGCATCAAGTTTAACTCGATAAATCTCGTTTCTCGCAGAAGTCTGATTGCTCGGGTGCACTGCAGGAGCTAGGACAACTCGTGACGATTACAAAGACACATTTATATGGCTGATTGGACCGTTTTTGTGTGAACTATTGAGTTTTTCCGTGACCATGTCTTATGCCTCATATCGGCGCGTCACAGAGCGCCGCGCACGTGTTAATAATCCAGATTTTGATTTTACACTATTAGCGGGCACGCCCCACCACGCCTAGACTCGATTATTGTTTACTTGTTAACACACTACTGTGAATCCCTAACCTTTGTGCCTCCCACCTATCGTCGATATTAACACGACGTTGCAGTAAAACAAGACTCGGACGCACGGTAAGAAAATGTACTAGGTCACTCACGTCCCGAGCGCAAAGACGCGCCGTGTGCTCGTAGGTCATGCTCGTACGTCATGCTAGCCAGCCGCCGATCTCAGTGGAACCCCGGCCGAAAATAAATACCCCCGTAAGAGTAACACAATACTGCAAGCCGTGAACGTTCTGGTCGTCGTAACGTAACATGAATATAACATGGCAGTTGTGCCTCAACTGATGGCCAGTTCTAATGCACTTTCGACTCTAGTTAACACAGAAATTTTTAACAAAGATTATATCCATGTAATGCATGCCGTTACAAAGGTTCAGTTGACAGAAATCTTTTCATTTCGTATCACGAAATCTCTTTAAATCCTAAGAAATGCTGCAGGAAAATTTATTTGGAGCGGGACTATACCAGCCAGCGGTACGAAGTGAAAATGCGGGGTATATGTACACGGCACGGTTTGCTACAATATTTGGGCCTTTGAAATCTTTTGCCGCCCGCCCGGTGGGCGGGGCCAATGCCTTTGCTGAGGGCGTGACGCCGCTCTGTCTGATATGGACGTGCCGTCGTCTTGGCAACACGTGGGAACGTCCCAGCGACGAGAAGCTTTCCACCTTTGATTTTGAGACATAAGCAGTAGTTTACGAGATATTTT